GAAAATAAACTTGAAGAGTGATGTCATCTGTTCCTATTACCTAGAGGTTGGATTTTACACAAAGGTACAAGCTTCTTTGCCACTTAGAGGGTTCTTGGTTCATTTTGCTTATTACTTTTAAAAAAACAAAGAAACTACGCATTTTCTTTTTGTTCGGCCCTTTTCAGTACCCTCAGGTTCTCAAAGATAATCTGAATTTGTCAACAATTCAGTTCATTCATATTCTTCAAGATTATCAGTATGTCTAAATGTCATCATTTATGTGTTTTTCCTTCTCAATCCTGGCTTTCTAATATTGCAGTATGAATTAAGTTTATACTGGACCTCTTGATCCACATAGTAATGAGATTAAAGGTGAATTGTACTTCAGCATCCAGTTGATAATCCAGGGTGGTTCAGTTTTGGTTTTTTTCTTTAATCTGCAAGTGTGTATCATTTCAGTATTCTCATTTGCTGGTTTAGGAACTCATTTCCAAAACATATATATATATATATGACATGAAACAAAGATGTGGAAGTGTCAGGAAAAAAAATTCTTTCTTTGATTATATGTATTTTTTGGAGTGGCAGTCTAGCTACAGAGCTAGTGACACTGTATTTCTTTGTCAACTGCATATTCCTGTTTATTTTGTTGTACCATTTTCTTGTATTTTTTTGTCCTAAGTGTACATAAACCCTTACATCTCTTTTACTGAATTTGCTGGATAGCAGAAAGTTTTGTTTGTCTCAGAAAAAAACCCCAAGCTTCTGCAATGACAAGACCACCTCTATTAAATGAATGTAAGTAGCAGGTTACTAATGCATGGTTATATTGGAGAGAAGGTATGGAAGAACACATTTCTAATACTCCTGATTGATCTGTTAGGAGAAGTCTTTACCTTTTCATAATCATATTTTGGAAAACCTAATGTTTATATATGCAAACAGATCATGTAGACAAAATATAACATCTAGTTTTAAATTTACTTTACTGTTTACACTTTATTGTCCATGTTTTCTGAAAATCTGTTTCTAACAACGTACTAAATGATGAATGTTGAGTTTCAGTCAGTCTTCAAAAAATGTAATTTCCTGATAAAAGAAGTAATTAAATTTTTCACTGTAGCCTCTTGGGAGGTTGCAACTTCTCAAGACAAATTGCCAATACTAAGCAAACTAGCTTTGGTTAGTTTTTAATAAACCTCTGTCATACACCTTTCTCATTTTCTAAATGACATTTGAGTTTCAAGCAAAATCCATCACTGTCCAAAGAGCATTTAAACCATATTTATAGGAGATGGATTCACATATAGAGGCAATCTAAGTTTTACTCAGAGGAAATCTGCATGAACAGTCCTCCCTTTTTCAGTCATTCAAGTGTAAAGTTGATTGTGATTGTGACAGATACTTTTATCTTCTACGATATAGTTCTGATCTTTTAAAAATCTTACTGCTTTCATAACAAAGACAAATTTGCTGTATACTCACATGACAAAAGTTTAGGATGACACAGTGTGGCTTGCAAGTTTTTCGTGTCATTTCCAGTAGCAGCTCAGATTCTAAGATCCTCCTCTGGTTTTGAGTGTGTTTACGGTTGGCATTTTCATGAAGTAAAATGCAATGTTCTTTTCAGGCACAAAATCAATACACTCCCAAGCTTAAAATACCTTTTACAAACGTGGAAAATTATTTGTATCTCCCATACTTATATGATGTAATCATTATTTAATTTTTGGCAGTGTTGTGTGTCAAAGTCAAATGAAGCAGATAATAGAAGACCAAGGACAGGTTTTAAATTATTGCCAGGAATTCATTTCAGTGACAAGAGGTGTTCAAAGTATTTCACTTTGCAAGATCATCAGTCTCACTGATGTGCAGTTCTTCCACTTCAATGTGTAAAGTTTCTTTCAGTGTAATCTTTGATCATGAAGGATCCTAAGGAACTTGTTATAATACTTTTAAGATGAGAGCGTTTCTTTCTTTTTCCATCTTGCTGCTTCATTCCAGTCACTCCTTATATTCTGCTTAAGAAGTCTCTATTTTACTTGATGGGTTTCTGCCCTTCCTCAGCTATCAAGTTTTTAGTTACACTGAAACAGACAAAACCCTCAGTGGTAAGTTACAACCTTACGTGTTTGTAGTTGTGATGGATAGCTTTTGATTCTTGCGTAAGAAAAGTATATAGGCTCTATCTTCCAGTTCAAATGTGGAAGCAAGGCTATTTTGCAGAAGTGTTTTCAAGTCTAGCAAAAGAGTCATCTCAACTATCCACCACATCCACACCTTCTATGTAGCATAGTACATTCCATTCTGCTAGCTGAATGCTTTCTGTAACATTCAGTCTCCTATTTAGCACTGTTGTCTGTATCATTCATAAGCTGACATTCACCTAAAGACCTAATATTCCAATATAGAAAGTATGAAACTTGTAATTTATGTAAATGTTTCCGTTGCAGAGAATTTTTTACATTAAATAGCCTAGAAAAACACATTAAACTTCCTTAAAAAATCAAAGGCTGATGAGAGTTATTTATGTGACAAAATACACTTTCTTTTTTTGGTCATTTCTCATGCTTGCTAGCAACGAAAAATGATGTTTAAAACACCTTCTGCCATGAATGACAGCTTTAATGTTGAATGTGTACACTGACATCCACACATTCAAATGAGTTACAAATTACTACTAAACCTAATTATGATTTATCTTTTCAGTTTGGTGTTGTGTCTTTCAATATACAACTGCTATGTGAAGTTATAACATTAGCAGATGACAGCAGGTGGAGTTGGGAAGATGTTTTAGTCAATTATTGTTACAAATTTTTCAGTAGAAATATTCAATATTTTTCAGTAGAAGAAAGATCAGGTTGCTTATCAGAAATTCTTAGTTAATAATAAGATGCTGTTCAGGACATGTTTTGGCAAGCTATAGTTTTATCTATAGAGTAGATAATTTGTGTACATTTAAGTGTGTTAAATTTAGGAGTTTTAATCATGATTCTTACTATTTCTTCTTAAGGTGGTCAGCAAGGTGAAAGCAGTATGACAAGTATGTGAATATATTTTAAAGTTTGATCACATACTCTAAATTCCCAAGCGAAGCTTGTTTCTTTCTTATTTAGTAAGTTTGCATATGCTGAAGTTTTTTCTACCTAGGAGCTTGCTTGACTAGGTAGCAAGTGCTTTGGTACAGCTGTTTAGCTGTGATATGGTTGAGGAGCATGAAAAAGTGCAAAGGATGTTTTAAATTGTTGGAATATCTAGGTAGGTGAAATCACATCCCAAGCACTGCAAGGATTTTTGATTTTCCCTGTAAAAAGGCACACAGGCATAGTTAAATACTTGATCCTCCTAAAAACTGCAT